TTTAATGACCAATAATCTCTTTTAGTATATGGCTTTTAAAACTGTTATTATTCAGCTTGATCTATGGCTATAATGGAGCAGAACTGAACTGCGGGTGCAATTAAAATAAGTCCCTGTAAAAGTGGAGAACGTAGTACGTTGCTAATGTGCAAATGACTAAATAACTTAATTACGTGAAATGAAGTGCACTTATAAACACAGATGCTTAAGCTGAATCATGATAATGTTGTGTATATGAATATATTCTTTTAAAAATCTGTTTATTAACCAAAGGGGAGGCCAAGGAAATACAAATGCTTGTAAGTTATGAAAATAATGATGGGTTTTTCATTACTAGTTAACAGGAGGCTTAGAAAAATCCCATCACTGAACATCTTGGAGAAGAAATATCCTTTGTACTGCTACTCCTTCCATGAAAATCTCATTTTTTAAAGACTTCTTTAACATATGGAATAAGGAAAACACCTGAATGCTAAGCACATTTAATTTACAAATATGCCATCAGTGATGTCAATGGCCAGGATCTACAGTGCTGCTTTAGGAGTTCCTAAGGAGCTAGGCATTCCCAGTGGGATTTTTCAAAAACCTTTTTTCTTTGAACCGCTGACCCCTGTGCCATAAAGCAAATTGCTTTTGAAACTCCATGGGGACACGTGTGTGTGTGTGTGTGTGTGTGTGTGTGTAGGTGTTTGGGGGCAGGGGCTGCAATTTGAGAAATGCAAGTCCTAAGCTCCTTTGGGCACATGAAACTAGCTGCATGGCACTTGGAATCCCAGCCAATTTCCAAACAATGTGTTTGGAATGAGAGGACACAGTTTGGACTTGTAGAGCTGGCCCAAACCGAACAAAAGACCCTTAAAAAGTTTTTATAGCGAGAGGGTGGGGAGGGGTATTACTCAGAAGGGTGGTGGGAATGGGTGATTACCTGATAGGTGTGGGAAACCTGTTGACGACTGTTAATGACTGCAACAGGTCTTACAGGAAAAAGCAAGTGGTGAGATGGCTAAAAATAGCTTTATCATGTATAATGAGATAAGAATCCAATGTCTCTATTCAGACCAGTCTCTCCATGGTTTTAAGTTTGGTAATGAGTTGCAATTCAGCAACTTCTCTTTCCAGTCTATTTCTGAAATTCTTTTGTAATAAGATATAATAAGACAGCTACAGTGGTGCCTCGCAAGACGAAATTAATCCGTTCCACGAGTCTCTTCGTCTAGCGGTTTTTTCGTCTTGCGAAGCAACCCTATTAGCGGCTTAGCGGATTAGCGCTATTAGCGGTTTAGCGGCTATTAAAGGCTTAGCGGCTTAGCGGCTAAAAGGCTATTAGCGACTTAGCGGCTTAGAAAAAGGGGGGGGGAGCGAAAAAAATCTCAAGACTCGCAAGACATTTTCGTCTTGCGAAGCAAGCCCATAGGGAAATTCGTCCTGCGAAGCGCATCGAAAAACGGAAAACCCTTTCGTCTAGCGGGTTTTTCGTCTTGCAAGGCATTCGTCTTGCGGGGCACCACTGTACTTTGAGATCTTGTATAGAATGTCCTGGGAGACTGAAGTGTTCTCCTACTGGTTTCTCTGTCTTGTGATTCACCCTTCTGAGTAATACCTCTCCCCATCCTCTCACTATATATAAGTGTCTGGTGACTTCTGTTTCAGTGTATCTGAAGAAGTGTGCATGCCACGAAAGCTCATACCAATAACAAACTTAGTTGATGTCTAAGGTGCTACTGGAAGGAATTTTTTAATTTTGTTTCGACTACAGCAGACCAACACGGCTACCTACCTGTAACTAAAGTTATTTGAGACAACTTACATCACTCATTGTCTTCTATTACTTCCACGTGAGCAATATATATCTCACACTTGCCACGTTCTTTAGATCCCACAGAACTGTGAAAGTTCTTTAGAGAGGTCAGGGTGGAATAAACAGCCGCATCAGTTTACAACTGAAGTTAGCGGGGAAATTCCTACTAACTTCATTAAGAGGCAGATTAGATTCTGACACTGAAGGAAAAGAACATAAAGTGCACTTGATTCAAAAACAGACTGTGGCTTAACCGTGTCCCATTTGAGAGTGTCATGCTGAATATGAGAAGCTGCACAAATCACTTACAGAATTCCAAGTGTTCATTGATTCATCCATATTCATTCTTCCTCTCTCTGCCACTGTGCCCTCGCTGTAGGTGAATGTAGCATAAGCATGTGCATGATGAGGAAATGAATAAGACAAATTTCTGGATGTGATTTTGAAGGAGGCTTCAACCAAATGAGCAACACTGAAATGCACACTTCTGATTTTTACAATGGAAGATAAAACGGGTGATGTCCTCCAAGTGGCAGATTTGCAAATCTGCCACACACAAGAAGAAGAAAGAGCACCAAGGATCTCTTCTTATCAGGAAGCAAGGATGCTCCGCCCTGCCTTGTCCACAGTGAAGATGCTCTGAGCAGTTCTCTGACTAGTGTCTTCCTCATGCTTGCATTTATATTTAGGCACTTAAAGAAGCCGTGAGTGTGAGCGGACTTCTTTTTCCACACTGCATATTTATGCATATTCTGGACTTTCATGAGTTACTTACAGTAAGTTTCTGCGGGATAGGAAGACCAGTCTCTAGCTCTCCTGACTTACAAGTTAGATTATGTCCCTGGACATTTCTCTACAGGATAAAGTTCTCAGAAATAGGTAAGTTCTCCATGAATGAGGGTGAGGAGAAAACCTGACTGGAGTGCACAGTTGTCTTTTACTGTTTACTGGCAAGTTTCACTAGTAATTCCAAGCTTGAAGTCACAAAGTACAGCAAGAACTATGTGGATGATTATATTTATACACACACACACACACACACACACACACACACGGCCCTCTGTGATTTAGTATGGCTGAATTTATAATTGTAACTAATCAGTTAAAGTAGCAAAGTTAATCAACCTAAAGGGCTTTAATTGACTCACAGACATATGAAGCACAGATCAACTCTCTAACAATTACTTATTTGGAAAATAAGCCAGCACAGCACACCAAGAGGATAACATGCTTCATCCATTTTTTTTAATTTCTGTGGTGTGTCTTTTAAACTGTAAACCTAAGGGAAGGGGTGGGGTTTTTTAAAAAATTATTATTGCTCAACTGGGAAAAGAAGACTATAAATAAATACAGACCTAAAGGGCAGTACACAAGGACTGCTACACATGAGCATGGGTCAATCTGATTTTTGCTACCAGGCAAAGTTCAAAGTCTTAGTATCAGTATTGCCTTGCCCACTATGTGCCATAGTTGGATAACTCACACTCTTACAAGTACCATGCAATGTCTACGCTGTACTTCTGAACAGTCAAACTTTTACTGTGGGAATGCCTGCGCTTTGGAACTCTCTGCCTACTAACATCAGGCAGGTACCCTGTTTCAGATGCCTGCTAAATTCTTATGCTTTGGCAAGACTATCGGGGCCAGGGAGGTGACTGATGCTTCCCTGTGAGAGGGGGTGGTCCCTGTCTGCTTGAAGGAGGCAGTGGTAAAACCACTCCTCAAGAATCCCTCCCTCGATTCAGAAAATCTAATTAATTAGATTGGCAATCAGTCAGTTGTCAACCTCCGCTTCTTGGGCAAGGTTATTGAGCGAGTGGTCGCAAACCAGATCCAAGCGCTCTTGAACAATCATTGATCCAAATACGGCTAAAGCACTCCCGAGCTTATCGCATATTATTCCCAAATAACGAATGATATTTATTAATTTATTGCACAATCCTAGCCAGTAAGCCCTGCTGAATCCAATGAGGAAAGTGGGGTTAGGATTGCAGCCTAATTTATTACATTCATATCCCACTTTCTTCGTCGAAGGAACTCGGGATGGTGTACATGGTTCCAGTGTTCAAAACTCCATTTATTCTAGGCAAATTTTGCAACAGGGAATTTAATTAATGCAAGCAGTTTCTCAGCTCTGGGAGCAGTACTGCGCCTAAGATTTCAGATTAAAACTGTAGAGTGGAAGGGAAGGAGGACCTTTTTCTGCCTCCCCACTTCCAGCTACTCTCTGGAGAAGAGACCCTCTTAAAAACAGTGGGGAGGCGGACAGTGGAATGACTAGACTATGTGAAAAATGTACATAGTATTTTAGCTGCAGTTCATTCATTTTCAGCTTTGTATTCTTGTTATAAAAAAAGCATGCCTAGACATTCCATAACCTAGGTTTAAGGTGTCATTTAGCTCCTGGCTTTCATATCTCAGTTTCTAACACTGCATGGTTCCTTCCACCTCTATCTTCTCTTCATGACAACCCCATGACTTACATGAGGCTGAGAGAGAGAGAGACTGGCCCAAGAACACCCAGTGAGGTTCATGACCAGGTGTATGGGGAGGGAGAGATTTAAACCCTGGTCTTCCCAGTCCTAACATGTTTAACTGCCATTAGCTTTCCCCAGGTGAAGATGTCTCATTTTCAGAAATGCCATCTGATATTTTTTTGCACATTACATTACCCACCCAGCCTTCTGGTGCTTTGGTTGATTTCTAGTCTATTCACCTGAGGAAGATGTCCAGACCATACAGAAGAGGATGGCAGTAGTGAGGCCTTGACGCTAGACCACTGCTAGGCCTGCTCCTCCTATCCAAATCCCTCCTGTTTCTGCCACTCATGCTATAGGTTGGTCATCCATGAGATACAGCTTAATGAATTAGAGGCAGCCATCTGGTAAAGGGCTAACAGCAGAATCAGGCAACTGCCTCACAGTAACCACTTTTAGACTGTCTGCATAACACCTCCAAACCTATGGGCTTGCAGGCTCCAGCTGTGCAGCCAAATAGGCATTACCATCCTAGGCCAGTGCTCAAACTACAAGGGGGAGAGGGAAGTGGAGTTTCAGCCCCAGCATCTTTTGTGACAGCCCCCTTAAGCTGCTGCTTTTCCCTAATGGACACACCAGAAATAAAGTGCTGCCCCATGCTTCACTGAGCATCTGCGTTATGATGGGATCAAGGTAAGAAAACACATGGTCTCCAATAAGAGCAGCCATAGCTCAGTGGTAGAGCATGAGACTTTTAATCTCAGGATTGTGGGTTTGAGCCCCACGTCGGGTGAAAGATTCCTGCATTGCAGGAGACTGGACTAGATGATCCTCGTGGTCCCTTCCAGTTCTTTGATTCTGTGATTTAGGACGCTTAAAAACTGCCACTGTGCCTTAGGTGATCATGCAACTCCAACCATGTGAAAATTAAAACACATGGATTGGGAATTTCCTCATCTCCCGTGGGTATCAGTACAGGGCAGGCAACAGGACAAAGTTCCCTCCCCTTCACAGATGGGCCATAATCTCCAGATTCCCAGTTTTGCTATCTTTTTAAAGTAAGTTCCTAACACATATAGAACCTGAGATATAATGCAAAACGTGCAGGCACTATTCTCATTTGTGTTCTGAGAAACGAGCCTGCCCACACCTTTCTGTGTTTTTAGAAGTCAAAACAATAACTGATACTTTAGAAAAGCATATATAGGCAATTAGACAAAAAGAAGGCTAGAGCTGAACACCAATTATCTAGGCTATGGAGAAGGCATTTCTTGGTTTGTTTTTAGGCTTTTTCTGCTAGTTGTCCCTGGTGAAGAAGTGATTATTTCTCCATAGAAAACAATTCTGGCACTTTGATGTAGTAGCTATGATTGGGGATTAGCATCAAAGCCAGTTTATAAACATTTCAAAAACTACTCTCCCATTACTAATGCTGGTAAATTCATTGTTATTATACCCATCCTGCAGAGGGTAGGGCTTTGTGGGTCATGCCAACCTTGCAAGGTAAAGCAAGTGTTCTTATACCCATTTTGCTGTGGGGAGTGCAGAGTTACAGTAATAATGCATGACAACCCTGACATGTCTCCACTGTTGTTAAATTGTTTTGCTTTGCTTCAGCAAAATACAGTTGGGGAGAGGAGACTGTGAAGTCTATTATAGCATTAATGCAATTAATTAAGGGCTGCTGGTGGTAAGGAAGTAGGGAAATAAGTGAGGGTTTCAGTGGTGAATGGAAAGACCCAGGGGTCTAGACTCTATGGAGTATACCTTTTTGGGAAGCCAAGTCTACCAGGCCTCAATACGGTTCAGTCACCAAATGCAGACTTTGCTGGGGTGGGGAGACAAGCACCATCAAATACATTCAGCTCTTCCTCCATCAGCTATGGTACTCTTGGACAAGTAACTTTCTCTGTACTGTACTCACCTTGGCCAAAAGAAACACAGCCATAATCTACCTCCTCCTTATTTGACTCACAACTTCTCAGTTGTTATCTTAACTATACTAATCCTTTATATCCTTTATATAATAGTACAGCAATATTATCAAAACCCATTATTGTCCTATGCCCTATGTTTTTCTGTTAATGTATTTGCAAAATGTTTTGAAACTTAATTTTTAAGAGCTGCATTTTAAGCTGTATTTTAAGCTGTATTTTAATTAACTTGTTGTTGTTGTTGTTGTTGTTGTTCTATTATGTTTTATTGTAATTTATATTTTGTGTTAGCTGTCTTGAGCCCGGCCCTGGCCAGGTAGGGCGGGGTATAAATAAAAGTTATTATTATTATTATTACAGTGGTACCTCGGGTTAAGAACTTAATTCGTTCTGGAGGTCCGTTCTTAACCTGAAACTGTTCTTAACCTGAGGTACCACTTTAGCTAATGGGGCCTCCTGCTGCCGCTGCCGCACAATTTCTGTTCTCATCGTGAAGAAAAGTTCTTAACCTGAGGTACTATTTCTGGGTTAGCAGAGTCTGTAACCTGAAGCGTCCATAACCCGAGGTACCACTGTAGTATTATTAGTAGTAGTAGTAGTAATATCTGAAATGGTTCTGTTCTCTGACAGTAGTTACACAGGAATCTCTCTCTCTCTTTCTATTTATATATATATATATTCAATTACTTTTAAACTTTACTTTGCCTGCCCACCCCCAAAAAAACCCCATCCTCCAGATGCCCATCTCACCTGTCCTTAACTTCTTGCAAAGGATGCCTATTTCCTAAATAAAACATGGATTTATTATTTTCTTTATGTTTAAAGAAAATCTTTTGACGTTCTTGTGCAAACGTATTTTGATAATCATGAAATTGCAAGGATTTATACGGCGTTCCAAGGAGTATCTACGGTAGCGAAGGTACTAAAAGCTACAGCACAGCCAAATTTGTTCTGAACTGAGTGTTTACTTAATGGTAATTGGTAATTCCGCTAAGCTAACTTCCTAATTAGATGTCAGGCGCATTTTCAAGATCTTGTACATTTCAATCATAGATGGGGATACAAAGGACAGCATCACTATCTCACATTGACCAAACTGCTTAATCAAATCTTGACACGAGCATGAACCTGAAGCACTGTCACCACTAAGCTGCCACTAGCGCCAATTAGCTGATCCAGTTTTAAGGACAGAGATAAAAGAAATAAACTGGAATATAAATGAGGACATTAGGAAAGAAAATAGACAATGCCTATTAGTTAATGAGCTGGATTGTAAATTTAATTCCTTGATACGATGGTGTTTACAAAATATTTCATTTTGGAAACATAAATCTTCTTCTGTTAGTATTAAGAGGCAAATTTCCGAAGTAAGTAGGTCTGCTCAAAGGAATAGAGCAGGGAGAACTAAGCAAAGAAAAGCATTTACTAATAAATTTGTGTATGCAGAAGTTACAATATTTCCCCTACTCAAAACTTTCAGGGACAAAATGCAGCCAAATAAAAACAACGTCAGCTTAAAGAATGGAAATGCATAGACGTGCATAATTAAAACTAATCAACAGGGACAACAGAGTGGCTACTAAGTTTGGAATTCTTAATGTCAGCCTATTTTATTTTATTTTATTTTTGCTTATTCCAATTCATTGTGACTCTCAAAAAAAATGAGTTGTGTCTTCCTTTCAGCTCAGTTAAAATCTATTAATCATATACCAAAGTCCTGCAATGCTCCTTTAAAACACACACACACACACACACACACATATATATAAGCATCAATACTGACATCAAATAACTGATAACCATAGCCAGAGTACAATGCACAATATTTAATGAGGCCAATATGAGATAAAATACTGATTCTATTAAAAATAGAAGCTTTTTATTATTATTACTGGTTTCAAAATGTAATGAACTCTACCCACATATCTCAATCCTAAATATGTTTACTTGAAAGTGACCATCATATATTTTGTTGAAAGTGACCATCATATATTTTGATGGAACTTACACTCAAGTAATTGCATGCTTAGGGCCTCCATCACACATTACCCACTATGCAGATATTTGTAGTGTGGTTTCAATATAATGTATACACTACTGAAATAGGTGCATGATTTCATCAATCCCATGTGTGACATGTAAAAAAAAAAGTTTTAAAAAACCAATCAGTCCACTGAATAGGCCTATCAAAGAAGAAAAGGTCATCTGTTTCAGCTACAGAGAGCAAAAGGGCAAATCTTGATCGCAAATATTACTTGCGGCTGGGAAAGAATTTTGAATATAACATTCACTGAAACGTCAGTAAAATTAAGCAATGGAGATTGAGGTCAGCTGTTTTATCTCTGTGTTAATCTGTACTGTGGCAAAGGGAAATAGGATGAGGCATCAACTATGTTTAGAGCAGCAAGGTAGATTTGATTTCTGCAAGGTGAAGTATAAAACATTTATTGCAACGAACTTGATAGGGTCTCTTGCTGATTAAGACACTTGTTTACCAGTTGCACAGAAGGTGTACACGTGCAACATACCAAGCAGAACTTGCCCAAAGATTTCTTTTAAAGATTCCTCTTAAGGGCAAGTATCTCCTGTTAGCTGTGTATTCAGCAAGCTTAATCTCTACTTTCTTTTCCTGATTCGCTATTTCTCTGTAGCTGCTGCAAGCAAGGTGCATTCCTCTACATTTGCAACACCAACTCCATTGTTTGTTTACAGGCATTTATAGCCCACCCATCACCATGCAGTCCCAGGGAAGGAGGCGTACAGCTTAACATGATTACACCGTGTAACACCTTCTGCCTCCAAAGTCCTGTGGCAAAAAGGTGCATCTTGGTCAGATGGTGAAATAGGTTCAGTTACGTGGGCAAGTGCTCCTCAGAAAGAAAGACATTCTACAATCTGTGGGCCCCCAGTGAAACAGCCTTCTCACACCATGCCCCAAGAATTTTACAGAGGAAAGCAGAGACTGCAAAAGAAACACAACACACACAGTATCTCAGACTTCTCCATGCTCTCCAAATGTTTGTCAACCACTCCCATCAGCTCCAGCCAGCATAGGTTGGCAAAGGTTGCAGTTAATGAATGGGATAGCTAAAATACATTCAGTAATTGGAAAACTTCAGCAGGTTGGTTTTTCAAGTCTGTGAGCTTATTCTGTATTATATTTGCATATGATACAAAACTGGGGTTTTTAAAGCAGGAAAAATGATAAAGCTACAATACTTACAGGTAACACAATATTCCAGTTGCCCTAAAACTGCATAAACATTATACTTATAATCCTCTGCAGGTATACTCAGAAGTAAGTCACACTGAATTCAGTGGGGTTTACTCTCCTGTGACTGCTACCTTAAGTCATCATTGACAGATGTCTAACCTTTCATTGAAAATATCCAAGGTGAATCCATAGCCTCCCTTGAAAACTTACTCATTTTTAATTTTAAAAAAATCAGTTGCTATTCTTTTAATTAAGAAGTGTGGGATATATCTATATATAGATGGGATCTATATATGGTGCATTGACTTCTGCTGGGAGGTGAGGTAGGAAGAGAAAGGTGGCATAGGTCAGAATCAAAGCATATACTTTGCATTCAGGAGGTCCAAGGCTCATTCCCTGGCATCTCCACTTAAAAGTAAGAACGTGAAATCCTTCTGATGGGAACCCTGAAAAGCAGTCTCCAGCAGTCAGAAGTAGACCAACCTTCACCAATCTGGTACCCTCCAGATGTTTCAGACTTCAGGTCCCATCATCAACTTGCAGGGATGATGGGAGTTGTAGTCCAAAATATCTGGACCGCATCAGGTTAGAGAAGGATGGAGTAGAAAATGCAGGGCTAAATGACCAGTAGCCTAACTCAGCTTCAATCACAATGGAGCTTGGGGTCTTACAATGTGAATTTATGAAAAAAGAGATAGGAAATAAATGAAAATCCATTGAAGAAAATCTTGCACTGCTGCTTTCCTCAGATTCTTCCTCAATGGTGTTAAATTTCCTTAAGTGATCTGTGATGGCAAAGATTCAGCTCCTAACGCACCTAGTATTGATTGATTGATTGATTGATTGATTGATTCAGAATAGTTATAGGCTGCTCTTCGGCAATGCTCTCAGACTGGTTTATGTGCCACCCACCTACATCTACCATTGAGCTATTGGAATTTGGCCTCACTTCCACTTCCTCTCCATTGGACAGGAAGCAGAGGCTGGCTTTGAGCAACTCACCTTCTCAGCCAACCATTTTCTAGAAGAGATCTAACCCATACCTTGAAAGTGTCTCTTGTTGCTCACTGTTGATTTCAGTAAGTGGTTACTGAGGGCAAGTGAGAAAACCAATCTGCATGAAAAAGAGTCACTCAAACATTGAAGGAGGGGGGGGAATACTTCTTTGTAAAAAATCTTCAAAAATCAAAGCTCAAAATAAAATTACTTAATATGAAAAATAAAAGTTGGTAAAAATCCAAAGCCAAAGAGGCCTCATTTACCACATGAATTTTACTGCTAGTCATGGACCACTCTTAATTCAACACATTTAAATCAAATACATCAACTGATACACTGATTTCTGAGTATTGTCATTTGTGCAACATGCTTCCAAATTTTCTTGGCAATGCACCATTAAAGCTTGTTTCTTTTTAATGCAGAAAAGAACAACCATTTTCGTCAAAAGCTGCAGCCAGCATTTAGGCCATAGATGATTAAAAGACAGACAAATATACAGATGCACAGAGATAGATGATAGATAGATAGATGATAGATAGATGTAGATCTAATTTAAACATTAGAAAGAAAAGTAATGACAACTGAAAGAGATCACGTAAGTTTGAACAGGCAAGAAAGAAACCAGTTTTTATATTCATTCCACTCTGCATAGATGTATCATCAATCTGATTCCCCACCTGCCATTCTCATTCACTCAGACTTCACTAACACTTTGCCAACATAAGAAATTAACGAGCCAATATTTTAAAGTGATTTGGGAGTTTTTTCATAAAAAGATGTCACTGACTCAAGAGATTTATTTCTAGTCTGTGAATTCAAATATAAGCCCAGGTTCAGAGGTCCCAATTTTTACCCCAGGCCAAGAAGTGGATCTACCCTGTGTGTCAAAGCAGCAGGAACAACAACAACTAGTTTTGCTACTTAAGTATATGGGGAATCCAATAAATTACTTTGCCATAGGTTGAAATCTTGACATAGGGACACAGAAGCCAGGACAGCATGAAGATTAGGTGATGGGTTTAATTTACTTTCCTTTTTATACAGTATAGGAAAGCAGGAAGGAAAGGACGAATTGACTGTATTCGGCAAGAAAGGGTTGCTAACCCCACACAAAAACACAACTGGGGATATTGCAGATGCAGTTTAATGCTGGGGGGGGGGGGAGGAATTCTACCAGGATGAAAGCAAATGCTTCGCCTCATTCAAAAACTCTGAGCTAAATTACAAACTTCTCAAAATAAAGACTAGCAATGGAGTTGGTGACAGATTCTGAAGTCTAGAAGCAACAGCAGGTGTTCCAACAATACAAGGATATAATTCAATCAGGCTTTTGGCTGATGTTGTAAAGTGCAAAATGACTCAAATTGTTTACGAACAGCACCAGAACCCCTAAGATTAAATTACAGCCTTGATATTTGATCAGGAGTCATGCACTGGGGTTTTTTTTTAATAAAACAATTTTTTAAGTTATTTACGTTTTAGGTCAACTGAATTTAAAAGGTGTTGTGAGAAAAAGTATCTGGGCTACATGCTCTGCTAAGACAGCAGCTTCCAATTTTACATATATATAGTTTAGAGACACATTGGTCACACAAGGGATGAAGGAGGAATTTGTTCAGTTTGCTTTTTGCAGCAGACTGACCCGGCACTCTCAAATTTCACTTGTGGACTGGCACGAAGCTCTCTGCCTTTCGCCATGCAGTTTCCGTGTGCAGACAGTGTCCACAGGAACAAGATATAATACATCAAAGATGCATACTCAATGCACATTGTTCAGATTAATGCATTGAAACTTTTGTATTTTAAGTTTAAAGGGTATGGTTTATTATATAAGCAGTCCATGCAAAATGCATACAAATGGGTAAAGTACAAACTAGAATTTGTCTCCCTTAATTCAGAGTGGCAAACATGCAGATGGTGGGAATATGTGGCCACTATATGTTGATCTTAAGCAGGGTTAGAAACTCAAGATATATAAGCTAGGCGCCAAATGGCTCCTTAAACCAGGGTTACAGTCGCCAAAACATAATGCCTAGTTGCCATTTGGCCAGACAGCTCTAAAGTTGCTTTTTTCAGTGCCTCTTCAATCCTCCTTTCACACAGCTGAATAAATCAAAAAGCCACCATTTCCTGTTATGTGAATACTGGGAAACGATGGTTAATACCTTCAAAGCAAGCCAGGATATGAAGCTTAATATCCCAGCTTGTTTTGAAGACATTAACCATGGTTTCTTCTTGTTTCACATATAACATGAAGATGTGGTAAAATGTTTAATCCTGGCTTGTTCGTGTACTCTCATGAGGAAGTGGGTGCATGGAAGTCCTTTGCACGCAGCTTCTGCATATCCTGTCTTATTAAGCCAGACTTTTTGACTGACTACTGAATGTGAACATTAACTTGTGTCTTACTCAAGACCACCCAACATTGCTGTTCAGGATTTGAACATAGGCTTGGCCCAAGCACTCTATTATACTATATCTTAAGAGCTACCTCTGAGCTTAAAATAAAAATAAAAATGAATAAGCATAAAGCTGGCATTAGTACATGTGAGCCTGCTGGATCAGGCCAAAGGCTCATCTGCTCCAACACTGTGTTTGCACGGAGACCAAACAGATGTTCATGGTAAACCAGCAAACAAAACCGGAGCACAACACTGTTCTTCCGACCTACAATTCCCAGGAAATACTATTCAGAGGCAGCAGTGAAGATAGGCTATATCCATCACAGACTTATTTGCAGGTCTGTTCTACCATATTTTCACAACACACTGTCCCCAGCACCAATTTAGTGAGAACCATCCACTGAAAAAGCCAATGGCATGGTGGGAACTATAGGAAGGAAGCCATTATCCCAAACAATGCCTTCCCCAGATGTAATAAAAACTGAAGTGCACACAGTTTCAAGGGCTGCAAGCCAGTGAACACCCAACATAAACAATTGCAAGTTGTGACTGCACATATTTTTGTTTGGGCTCCATTTGTGCTCCTGCCTTTCCATGAAACGGAAACATACGTTTTGTACAACTCACACCCACACTCTTGTCATTTTGGGAGAAGAGTGAAGGTGCTAAAGTGAAATTTTTTAAAAAATAATAAAAAAGCAGTTTCTAGCTGGATCACAGTACAGGCTGTCTGATAGGTCAATCAATTGATATACATCACACACACACACACACACACACACACACACACACGAGTTTTTAAAGTTTTTTTTTTGTTTTTATTTATTACAAAAAGTATAGATGCTGAAGTCTCCCAGTACTGCCGCTCAATTTCCTCAATTCTAGTCTTACAGAAGACTTGCTTACATCTGTACCATTGGTGTTGACAATGGGCATCGCTATGACCAAGCTAAATAGAACATACCTTGGCTATACCTTCATGGAGTTGTCAGCATGGTGGGGTGTGATGCCTTACCACCACCCTCCAAGCTGCGGTGTCACTGCCATTTATGGTGTGGGGATGGGGCAGGGCAACTGCAAGACTGGCATCAACAAAGCCAATCCATGGGTGCACCCACGCAGCTCCAACCTCGCTGGCACTGTGCCTCATCCCTGTGACATCCAGGTGCACAGAAGCAACACCACTTGGGGGAAGGCAGAGAGGACACAGTTCCTGCATTTGATAGAGCTACCCAGAAAGAGGGTGTGGATTAATCCAATATTATAGAAGATTAGGACGTTGTAGCTGCACAAATTGGGATTCCGCAGCTTAAGTCAAGAGCAGCCAAATTATTCAAAATACAGAAGTGAGGTGTAGTGGTTAGAGTGTTAGACTAGGACTGGAGAGACCCAGATTCGAATCCCCACTTGGCCATGAAGCTCAGCAGATGATCTTGGGCCAGTCACTGCCTCTCAGACTAACCTTCCTCACAGGGTTATTATGAAAGAAAAATGGGGAGGGGAAAGAACCATGTGCATCACTTTCAGCTCCTTGCAGAAAAAGCACTAAACAGAATTATAAATAAATGTTATACTGGAATTACATAATGAGTCAGAGGGCCACAGCTGATCTGAATATTTTACCTGCATGAATTATCATTTTCATTAACCTAGAAGATGCCTTCAGCGACTAGATATGCTGCACTAATTCTGCAGCATTCATCATTCTCAAACAGGTATCTTTCAAATATGAAAGTCACTTTGAAAAAGTTGACAGGTAAATTTTCTACCTGAGTCACTGAGGGTAGAAGTGGAAAGAGTTCTGTTTATTTTATTTAGGTTGCTTTGCAAAGCAGCACAATTCTCGGCAAGATTTTGTTTTTTTAAGAAGCAACGTAAAGGAAAACAGAGGTGTTCTATAGTGATATCAGGCAATTAAAACTGTGCAACAAGGCCTCTCATACAAAGGAATGAACAGGATGGGAAATTATAAGCAAGTTTGCTTATAATTCTCAAGCAGCTTTAAAAGCAAATGTTCCTATGCAAACCATGTAAACTAGCACAAATGTAAACCTTGCAGGCTTCAGAGACAGCAGGGAAAACTCTACAGATCCTAAAAGGAGTATTCTTTACCTTAGCAATATAGCACAAAACTCCTAACTTCAAAATGAATTGATACATTTTACAAATGTGTGTACCTGGCCATTCAGCTTTAAAAGAAATGGAAGTGTGGAGATTAATAAATTGTTGTTGTTGTTATTTCTTTAAGGTGCTTATAGAAACAGACCCTTAAATATAGTTTGTTTATTTTCTGCCCTATCCTAATCCCCCCTTCCTCTGCATATTATTGTAGAGACAATACTACCCAAATAAAAGGAAAGGCTTTCTTGCAGTGTGAAGAATAGTTGGAGGTAGGAAGACAAGTGGGGAGGGTTGTTGGTTTTTTTAATTAAAAAGGAAAGGAGGGGAGTACAGGAATACTGTTTGAGTAGCAGGACTTCTGTCCCCATTTATTTAGCCAAAGAATTCTTAGGCTGCCTTATAGAACCATGTCCTATCTAGGTGGCACCAGGGAAATAATTTTATCAGCAGGCTTCCTAATATGCAGAGAAGCTGGTTATGAAATAAAAATAATGGCATACTGTCACAGGGTCATTGTAAGGATGAAGACAATAGAATTTTAAGGCTCTCTTCTAAAGCCTCAGAAACTGTAAATAATAATTATGAAAATTAATCATCCTAAGTTTTGTGCTGGCTATCAAATAAAAATCTACCTATCCAATGAGCCATAAATGGGTAACGTTCCAGATTGTCTAAAAAAAATTTCATGAATCTGGAACCTTAAGCCATATATGACCCATTGGATTCCAAGGAATGGTACTTACTGACAATAGTTTCTGCAAAAGGCTTTGATAGCACCAACAGGTCCCACTTGCCAAGTGACTTGATTGGCACTTTCTGTGTCCAACTGAGCATGGCTGCTTGGGTGGCTTCAAAAGCCAGGCAAATAGCAATGCAGGAATACAGCATCTACCCCTAACTGCAACATATCTGTGACACACCCAGATGCCAGCTTTCAAACAGGAAGTGTGGTCTCTAGTCTTTTTTGTACCTAATCCCTGTAGACAGCAATGCTGACCAAGCCCTGACCTTTAGTAACCACAGGATTAGTGACACATGCAAGGATGAAAACCATTTCTTCATTTTCCAGAGATATGTCAATTTTAAGAACCTCTGGTGTTTATTTTCCTGAGAACCAAGCAAGAGGTTGTGCAGCCAGCTAGGATGAGGGAGTCAATTGTTTACTTATTTCATGGAAAAAAATTATACTGGTCTTTAAAAGCCAAAATATTTAAAAAGAAAAAAGAAAAAGAGAAATATGTACTCCTTAGTACAACAACCTGCTTGCTCAAGGTAAATTCACCTGATTAATTATTATTTCATACACAAGCCTGCAGTTAGGACTTAGTATTTATATATTTCATACTATGTAGCATAAAAGCTGAGCAACAGAAAGGAAGACAATGAACATCTATATTAAGCAATTCTGAACATATTTATACTCTTTGAATAAATATGCAAAGTGTTTGCAAATTAATCTAATTGTTCCCTCTAAGGACCGCTTCATGCATGATGAATTCCCTACACGGAATATCATTGCTATGTAGAAAATTGCATGTACCCTTTATGTTTGCCATCAAATGTGATAAGCATATATGTACCTATTTTGCAGCATATGGAAATGATAACTTCAACACGGGCAAAGGGTCCTAGGAGCCTTGAAATGCATGTGGTTTTTTATAAGCCACCTTCAATGAATCCCTCAAAGGACCATTCACTTTCAAAGTATCTAAACAAACAGATATTCTATTAAATCAGAGCTTGCATGTCTTCGTAACTTTAATGCCTCCCCTTTATCTGATACACCTCTTGTTATGTCCACCACACTGACAAACATTTACTCAAGAGCAGTTTGGTAAATGATCTTTAAAATGCAGACCATTGCAAACATACACACTGTTCCTGATTAAGCAATTGCAGATCTGTTATCTTGCCTTCTGGGAACGGATCTAAATAGCATCATAATATCAAACGCTGAAAACCACAGGCCTGGGGCCACCAGGACTGCGCTTCTTTGTAGGCTCTGTTAAGTCACAAACTTCCTGATATAAAATGTAGCTTACCATTAGGAGTAAATGTTTGATCTGAAATGCTTACAAAACGGCTACGTTTATAATAACAGATTAAAGATTAAGCTTAAAACAAAACTGTTTATGGAAGACTTTACTTCTCTGCAATTCTGTGCATTTAAAAGAGAATCAAGTAATTAAGAGCATAAACTTTCATTACTTCACTCTATTATATACAGTAGTTCATCTGTTATTTAATTGATTATCTCATTACAAGGGTAAAAGACAATTTGCTGATTTTGTCAAATGTTCAAGGAGCTTCATTCCTGGCAGCCCTCAGATCACAAGAAATGAATCTGTGCACGTGCGTAAATATATATTTTGAAATAAACAATATTAGACCAGTTCACAGAATACTGTCCTCCAAGCTCTCCTGTGAGTGGTGGGAGCAAGATTATGCTCATGCATGAACTTTCAGTGAATCAGATATACATGGTGGGTAGAAAGGCTCCATGTTTTGAGGGTGCACATACGTAAAATCGAACACATTTAAGCCTGAGTAGCACAATGAATACCCTAGACAAAACCCAGAAATCAACCACAGGATCAACCAATTCCCATGTGTGCATCCTATTCAAAAGTTAGCTAGGCATGGCTATCTGCCGCTCACATCAGATGCAGGCAGGTGCACCAGTGGACAGGGGGGAAAGTGTGCTTTCGCTGCCATACCACATGTAAAAGAAAGATCACCCTCAGTGAGACCAGTGCTGTGAATTAGGATTTCGAAAAGAAACAAGTCAACGATGCAGAGGTGTAAGTGCTTCAGTCTGGACCTCCCTGAAGGCACAGAATGTTTGTTTTATACCAGACCGATTCACAAGCTAGGGAAGACCAAGCGGTGAGATATGGGGAAATTCAGCCCCATTCAGCAGAATGGGACTAAACAGAACTAAATGTAAGCAATTTATTTCAACTGAATGGTAAGAATGAACTGCATTGCCCATGAGCTTCTTCGTATGCATTACGTCTAAATGGTAACTCTGCACACTTAGGACTTGAACAAGCACTCTAATCCATCACCTTCCCTTTCCCCTTTGTGCATCTGGTAGAGATCGCCACAAGAGATTGTGCCAAAATTGAGTACCTTTAGCATGTCAGTGCCACAAACCCTTTCTCACTTTTTAAAATAAAAGTAAAATAAAAATAAACATAGATTTGGTTTCAGAACAACTGCAGTGAGAGATACATAATTTATCCATTTTTTCCGAAAAGGGCCTGATGCATGCCACACTTTCCCATGAGTCATTATAAAGTGGTACCTGAAGAAATACTACATTTTACTTATGTGCATTTACCCCATGGCAAATTGATTTTCATAACCGATAGTTGTCTCCGTCATGCTGAAGGTAGCCTGTATTTCCTATTCATACTGTGAGCCCACTGCTTAAAAGGCAGGACTACAGCTATTTGGCCATAAATTCAGCAACCAAAGGATAAAAACATAACATATGTAGAGGTCCAAAGCATACAAATCACTCCAGCTTTGCATTCTCACTCAATGAAAAGGCTGGCCACTTTTGCTCGTTTCATACCCAGTTTACAGGGAATATTTTATGCCATCAATTTTGCTCCTGCTGCCTTATTGCCTTCAACTTAGTTGCATCTTTGCCCAGAACACTTAAAGAAAAATGAAAAGGCTAAGTTTAAGACCATGCTTTCACATTAGAACTGCAATCTTCAAATAATTCACCCCACAGCAGGTCCCACTGTAGTCA